TTCCCTACAGTCAAAATAGAAATATATCCCTACAGACAATCGAAATAGAAATATAACCTACTACATCTGACAGTGCTGTGTAAAGGAATTTTTATCAAGCTGTTGTTGCCTCAGTGGAAACAATACAGATTCCCCCCTCCCGCCCCCATTAATGCTAGGGCCATCTACATTTTATGATTAACTTTCTCCTTACTGGTTTATTACTTCATCTGACATTATAATCCTCGGAGCAGGTGAGGATAAACCTAACAGAGTGCTGGTATAGTTGTTCCTAAGGAGCATGTCTGTCAAAGATTCCACAAAATGTCAATAAATGGGTTTGACCTCGTAAGTACCTTTTTGTTGGCTACAAAATGCATTTTCTGCAGATACTCTTGTATGTGTATTACAGAGAATGTTTAAGTTTCAGCTTAGAACAAAACTTCAAGAAAACTATCACTCATTGTTTTTTCACTCTGCTGCTTATTCTGGACCTGACGTCTTTTACGCAGTTATTTAATACTTGAAGTACAGAATCTGATTGCTTGCAGTTAGGCATCTAGCTGGAAAATTCTGGCTTATACACAATTATTAAAATAAACACAGAGATGTTACCATCTTTAAAAATCATGGGGTCAGCTACAGAAACAAAAGTATGGTATGATATTAGAAGTATTACAATTAATAACACCCTATTTATAAATGGAAGCACAAGATCTTTTTTGATCACATATGAGTAATTTTGAAAAAATATTATCCCTTACACAGTGAACAGTATAAATAAGCTTAGCATACATGCCTTCAGTGCTTCTACACAACTCCGTTTCCTACTCATTTTCCAGCTGTTGGTTATACTTTCAATTTCAACAAATTATTTCATAGGACATGATCAAAAAAATATCCGATCCTGAGTACACTGGTACTCACACAAAATCAGGAAAACGTACACAAAATTTTGCAGTGCAGAGAAACCCCACGAGTTAATCTTTGGAACATTAAAGCTTTGTACAGTTTCAAACTTAGTAACTAAGGCACACAACAATTACACTGTCCCATATCTGAAACAGCATGATATGTCAGTCAGCATGGAGCTTCTCTTTAGCTCTGCATTTACATTCATTATATAAAGTAGCAGTCAGTTTTGAAAAAACCTAGCTTCTGTTAATATTAAGGAATCTGAAAAGTGACTAGCCATGCCAGACTAAGATAGTTTAACTGGATTCTATTATGGATTAGCACACACAAAACTATGCATGCTTACATAACCACAGGAAAAAAAACAAATTCCGAGTCAGCGCCCACTGGACTGGCACAACGTAACCATCCGGATGCGGGTGTGTTTCTACTCTGCAAGGAAGGTGTGAGAGAGTGAGCGTGCGGGTGTGTGCATGTAAAAATAGCAGCTTCTCATTTGTGCATCTTATTTCTCATATGTGTCCAGTATGGTATCTTCTTACCCCAGTGACAAAATTATTTTGGCTGCTATTTTTGCTTCTGCTCGCACTGCACAGTTTTGTACAGTTAGCGGTGCTGGCTTCTGATCTGGACTTTGAAGTCACTGAATTATAATTGTAAAGTTAAATTATGTCCTTCATTTAACCAATGTGCAATCCAAGTGAAATTAGCTTATTTTCCAATGATTTAAGTAGAAACCAACTTTGGCCTGAGGCAAATGTTACAATCAGAAAAGAAGAAGAAGAAAAAAAAAAAAAAAAGGAAAATTCAAATCTCAGGTTGGGTTTGCAAGGCTAGTAACTGAAAAGGCAATCTTCTCATTTGTAAACAAAGAAAGTATTATCTGGAAGTGACTCGACACGCAATGATCATAAGTGTCATCAATGCCATTTTTACAAATTTTCTTCCGAGCAGAACACATATTTGCTAATTTCACTGTCTTTCGAAATTAGGCATCATGTAATATTGTCTGACACTTCACACTTACCTTTAGCAATACCTAGTATCAAGGTAACCCATATACTGCAAAATAAGTTGATGTTATTAATGTACATAGCCACTGAAATTCTAAAGAGTTCTCCTTACTTCAGTGGAAATTCTTTCCAGCTTACTTTTAAAATTTGTTTTCTTTTTAAAGATATTAAATGCACTACTCTCTAACCATAAAAATCACTATTTCTCACTAGGAATAGCGTGAGAAATTCTTGCTTCAGTGTTACCTCTTTCTTGTTTGCACTGCATTCTAGCTATACAAATAATGCCATTTTTGTCAGTTCTTGTGATGCTTAGTTTGATCCTACAGAATTTAGTTATTTTTTATAGCTGTAATAACTGTCTCTTAAAATGTTTTCATTAGGTGTTGCATATAAGTACACAGAAATGGAACTGAAAATCAGCTACCTACCACTCTCGTTAGTCTTATATTCTATTCGTGGTTAGTAGCTTGAGATTTAAATAGAATTGCTGAATATTTTAGTAACCAAGTACAATAGTTTTTTTTTAAAAAGTCCTATTCAAGCACACACTTATTGACCTGCTATAAAACAAACAAAAAATATAATCCTTTGAATTCCCCAGTAGCAAATTCCTGTGTCTATGGGTGGAAAAATCTGAAATAATGGACACAGGTCTCCGAGGAAAAACATATTAATAGCATGATTTCTCCCAAAAATAAAATTTCCGATAAAGTAAAAAGTGTGCTGAATAGGTAGAGGCTTAGATTCAATACTTCTCAGTCCACTATTAACAATCTAAATAGTTTGAGTGCTTCCCCATCCCTTTTTTCCTCTTTTAAAAAAAAAAAGGATAATCAAAAATATGTATAAACAAATTACTAAGTGGACTTCATTAAACAGTCCTTTCAGAACCACTGTCCATCATTATCATCATCATCATCTTCCTCCTCATGGTCCAGATAGAGAAGAGCGACTTTCTTTTCATCAGAAATAACTGACCTTTGGTCTACCATTCTTTGCAACTGTACAGTTTTATCAAAAGATGACTTTTCCACTACCTTTTCACCATGATCTTGAGAAAAACTGGAGAGAACATAGCCTCTTCTTTTATTTTCATTTTCTACAGTGTGGTCACTTTCAACTACAGTCTCTGCCTGACTAACAGAAGGGTCTTGCTTGTTGGATATGAACATTGCTGCTTGCTGTTCTCCACTTTTTACTGTAGATATTCCACCCATATTGGAAACATCCATCTGAAAAGTAAAAGATGTTTCCTTGGATCCTACTTTAATATGCTTTACAGACCTGCTGCTCTCAGATGACTCTTCTGTTTGTGAAAGATCTTCCAGCGTTTCAGAAATAGGTCTTGTAAAGATTATTTGCTCAGCATGAGTTTCTACAGGACTTATTTTAATGTGCCTGAAAGATCTATTGATATCTGAGCTTCCTTCATTCTGTGAAAGATGTCCTTCTTTGTTAATGAGCTCTGGAGTTTCAGAAAGGGATCCCTGATATATGATTTCTTCAGTGGTTTTAACTCCCACTTGACCTAGTCTAACATGCTTTACTGAACCTTCTGAAAGAGCCTGGTCTTCCAGTTCACTGATTTCTGTGTGTTCAGAGATGGGCCCCTGGTAGATGATTTTTTCAGCTGTCATAAACTCTTGGGGACCCAAATGAATGCGTCTGACTGAACTTTCTGTCTGTGAGAAGTCTCTAGTGTCACTGACCTCCACTTTACTGGAGATTGGTCCTTCAAAGATAACTTGCTCAGTATGAATCTCTTTTGGACCTAATCTAAAGTGCCTTATTGATCTGCTGACGTCCACAGACCCTCCTGTCTGCGAAAGGTTACCTGAGCTATTGAGCTCCAGAGAGTCTGAAACAGGCCCTTCAAAAGAGACTTCTTCAGTCACTTGCCTTGATCCTACTGTGACATGTCTTGTGGACCTGTTGAAATCTGTTGAAAACTTCTCGGAAAGATTTCCGGAATCAGTCTCTTCTACAGTTTTAGTAATAGGGCCTGTATAAATTACTTCTTCTGTGGTTTGGATTTCTTTAGGACCCAGTTTAAAATGCTTCACAGATCGGCTAAACTCCGATGACCCTTCTGTCTGAACAAGATCTTCTGTAGCACTGAGCTCCAACATTTCAGAACCAGGCCCTTCATATACGACCTGCTCAAATCTCTGAACTTGGGCTGGACCAACCTTAATATGCCTTATGGATTTGGTCTCATCAGTTGACTGTGGTGAGTGAGAGACTTCTTCAAAATCTGCAGTTTCCAAAACCGAACCGTCATAAGTAACTTTTTCAGTGGTATGATACCCTGTGCCACCGCTCCTCCTCGTTGTGGAAAAGCTATAAATTTCTTGTTCAGCCAAAGGAGTGTATTTATCACTGTGGGAAGAAACATCTACTTCTATATTGCTTCTACCATCAACAACTCTCTGCAAGCTGTCTTCTTTCAGGGAGTGCAATGTTGCTTTCTCCTTCTCACTTGCAATTACTTCACCAAGCTGAGCTACATCAAATTCATCAGTATTAAGGGTCTGTGACAGATTGACTTCAGCAACAATTGTCACCAAGCCACCATCCTCCGTTTGATCAACTTTTTTGATATCAAATTCTACGCTACTGGAGTCAGCTTGATTTTCTTTCGTTAACGCAGACAGCTCGTCTTTCACACTTTCTGGGAGACTGCCCTCCAACTTCTCCAAAGCTTCCTTCAAGTGGTGTTTTGGGTCCTTTGTTTCCTTTGATAAAAGCCCTTTTATTGAAGTCTGGAATTCGTGGGGAATTTTAATTTCTTTTTCAATAACAATGGATTCAACATGGGATGTTTCAGCTTCAGGATGCTCTTTTAATATATGGGCACTTGCTTCCTCCCCTACCACTTTGTACGTTTCTTCTGGAGAGCTTACACCTTCATCTCTCTTTCTTTGTGTGCCTTGCAAAAATTCATCTTGCCAAGAATATTTAATAGTTGATTCTTCTTCTATATGAATTTGCCCATACACTGAATCATCGTCTTTTTCATTAATAATAGGATGATCATCAGGAACAGATACAAAATATTTCTGTTCAATAGGTGAGTCATCTTCCTCAGTTACTTCTTCCACATGAGTGAAACTCCCATGGCGTTGTTTCTTCTTTTTAACATCTTCATAGGTGAATGGTATGTTTTGTTCCTCCTCATCGCCGTAACGCCTCTCTCTCTCAGGGAACGTATCTTCCACTTCCTCTACTTCAAAAGGTGTTGAAAAATCAGTCCTTTCGTCAGTGGCATAATCTAGTGGCTCCTCTACAATCTCAACATTAACAGACATGTTCTTTCTGCCCTCACTCCCTTTCAGGCCATGTTGTACTATATCTTCTATCTCCTCTTTGGTAGGAGTTCCCTCAACACTCTCTCGAACCACTTTTCTAACATCCTGGTTTGATAGACCTCCCACATCAGCTTCATCAGAAACATCTATGTTTTCTTGAACTTGAGATTGCACTGTGAACTCAGTCTTTATCTTCCCATCTTCTGGTTGTTCTTTCTTATTAAAATAGGTCACTTTTGTGTCTGTTGATATTTGTGAACTAGAAGACTGCGTAAAACTTTTAAGAATGTCAGCAACAATATTCTCTGCTATATTTTCAGTTGACAAAGTTCCCATTTTCTGACTTCTGTCACTAATCCGCTCTTCATCTTTCAGGGTGGATTCTGCTTCTGAAATATTCACTCTGTGAATTTCAGCAGGCTTAGTTACACGGTCATCTGTTTCTCTTCCTATGGAAGTTTTAAAACCTTGTAACCTTATTTCTCTATTACTCCGAGATTCTTTGTCAGGAGCAGGCATTTCAAGACTGATAGGTATCTCGATGACTCCTTTACTTCTTGATTCTGTGGTCACATTTGTATCTTTTTTGGTTGATTCACTTTTCCAAGTTCTTGCATTAGAAATATCACTCCCTGTTAACTTCTGGTTAATAACTTCCTCATGGATATATTTCTTCTGCTCAGTCTTCCTTCCAAAATCAACACCTCTTTCTTCTATAAAAGGTTTCTCATCTGTTTTCTTTATCTCCTCCTTTGTTTGTTTCTCTAGCTTATCTTTTTCTTTCAGCAGAGATTTTTTCTCTTCAGTTGGTTGGCTGCCTCCTCTTTTTTCTCCTAGTGTGGTCCAAGTTTCAGTAATGGTTTCTTCGTATTTAGATGGTTTAAAATTGGTATTCAGCTCATAAATGGGAAATCTAGTGAAGCTTGGTTTTGTTCTTATATTTTCAGAAATCCCTGGCTTTGTGTCAGGCTTATGGTCCTTGTCTGATCTTTCAGCGTGTGCTGATTGTTTTGAAAAAGATACTGTGGATGAAGTTGTAACTTCTGTTTTCTTTCTTTCTGGAATCGTCTTTTGCTGCATCTCAGTGTTTTTCCAGCTACTGTAGGCTGGAGTAAATGTTCTTAATTCTCTGTGGTCTGTTGCAATCCTTTCATCCTTTGTAACAGTTGTTGAAGGGCGATATATTGAACCAAGTACATCTCTCCCAAAAGCTCTTCCACCAGCTGTTTTCTGTGACCCAGCCTGTGTTGATTGAGCTGAATATCGTGCAGAACTGCTAGTATTTGTCACTGGCATTCTACGCCTTGTGTCAGTGATCCTGATAGCTGGTGAAGCTTTATTTCTATTTCTTTCTTGATAAGTAGAGTAAATATCAGTGTAGTTATATGAAGTGTTTATAATATCTGCAAAAAGAACATAGGTAACCAAACATTAAAATAATGGCTTGTATCTAAAATAATATAAAATGGAGGGCATGAACTAAGAAATTTCATACTAAACTTTTGAAAGAAATAATGGCTTCATTTTCAGTGGAGCTTTGTAAAGGCGTTCCTGTAGGTTTTGCATGATAATTAAAGTCTATACTTAAATTACATTAAAATTGAAAGCACAGCTTTTTACTAAGTTGCAAGCTCGTGCTAATTTTACCTGTTGTGAGCTACTGGGTATTGTGGAATTTACTTAAAAATTACACCTTTTGTATTTATATTAATGTTCATTTACATTTACAACTTACTAAATAATTTATGCTAACATCCTCAGCTTGGTTTTTTGCTTCATTAGTCAAAGTGGCCTGAAGTTTCTCGGTTCCTATTAAGAATTAATAGCATACCTGCCACCATGAACTGGAAACTGAAAACACAAATACAACCCTTCATAACCACAAGATACAACAAGGTACGACAAGGGAGAGAAATAAAGAGCCTATCTGTACAATTTAATAAAATAAAATGTACCAGGAATCAATTGTCCGGCTTTAAGGCCAACCAGCACTGCACAACTCAAATCTCTTACTCCTCAAAAGCTAGGCACATCTCCTCTAACTTTCGGTAGTGTTTCCTGCTCTGAAGTAACCACTGAATATGCCTGGGCATTGCCTGCAAAAGTACTGGTTAGTCCAGATCAAAACCATGCCAGGGACAGTGCTAACAATTTAACAGCACAGGCAATTCTACATGAATGTTTCAGCCAAGGCCCTAGTCCATTTAATTTACTACTACAGACACAGCCTTCAAATCTCTTCTGGGACTACTGTCTATGATGGTCCGATGATTTTAAGAGCACACATTGTTAAACTCAGGAGTATTGTTGAGACTAATTCTGTTATTAATAACAATGGCCACAGCAGTCAGATCAAAGGTCCATCTTTTCCAGTATCCCTTCTACAGTGACCAACAGTAGATCCATAGGGAAGAGTATAAGAACAGGGTAAGTAAATAGTGATACTTCCCTGGTATACTCTCACAGCCTCCAGAGATTTGCAGCTCCTAAGATAGAAACGGTATCTTTATGTTTAGTAAGTCTTTGATTTTTCTTTCATTAGTCTGCTAAAATTTCTCTTCAAACCCACATAAACTTTTTAACACTCACAAGGCCTCATGAAGATGAATTCCATGGTTTTAACTACACATTTTGTTAAATACCTCTTGCTTTATACTTCAAAGCTCTCTTCAGACCTATGGGCATCCACAATTTCTTGCACTATTAGAGCTATGAAACATCACTCCCTACTTACCTTCTCTGCTAGAGTCATGATTTTAAAAATTCTCTCATATCGAATAGCACTACACTGATTTAAAACAGTAACACTCAAAGCCAATTCAATATTCACTTCGCAATATACTCATAAAAAGTATTCTTCAGGAATACTATAACACAGTAGTTTCTAGTTATATTTAAATGCATTCATTTTTTAATATTCATTTTTTTTACCTTGAGGCAATTTCCCTGTGTGCTGATCTCTCCATGTAAGAATCCACTGCTTGCTCTCCCCTTCTAACAAAGCTCTGCAAAATACATAAAAAGGCATTCCATTAAAATATTGGAAAGAATATTAAAAATATTTAACATTTATAAGTCTTAGAAATGGAAACAATTGTCCTGCAGTTGGGTCAGATCCTGAGGTTTTTTTTCACACCCCATATTTTTATTACTGGGAACGAAAAATCCTTACCATCTTTCAGACTCTTACATTGCAGAGTCCAGTTCATGAGAACAACGCAATAAACTTACAGCAGCAGACACAGTACAGTTTTAGATCAAATCTTCCACATTAGCCAATATACTGCTTCCTGGCATGGACAAGGTCCACTGATTTCCACTATGGAATCATACAAGCTAGCAAATTTTTCCAGAACGATGGCCTTATAACAGAGTTAAGAGAAAACAAAGCCACACAAAACTTAACAGGTATTCAGTAACGCTTTCTCAGAGAAACACATGGAGATGTTTTATAAAGAAAAGGTAAAAATGAAAAAAATATTTGCAAGCAAATAGTCAGCAGCTTTCCTGCTGGTAACATAGTACTATAGGTATCATTGCAGTGTGACACGAGGGAACTGTTAGAGCCAGGATTTGTAAGTTCTATCCTTTTCAAATGAAAACTGAAGGAAAGTGTTACTTCTACTGTCAAACACTGGCTAGTGCTGGAGGAAACAACTTACAGTATTCAAGTGACCGTTCTTAGTTCCTACTCAGTTGGAAATCAACACAACATATTTACAACAAAGGACTAGGAATATTCTCTGTGACAAACTGCTTCGTTTCTTTTAATGACGCCTCTGTTTGTCCCCTCTGTTCCTCAGCCATCCATTCATTCTTTGCAGTGACTGATAGCTTCCGTAGTTCCAGGAAGCCAGCACTTCCACAGGACTATTGTGGTCAAGGCTTCCTCTTGCTGACCAACCAAGACATCACGTTAGCTCAGCAGCAATTGATCATAAACAGACAGGACACCAATTTGCTTACCTTTATGTTATGGAAATTATATCACTACAAGCAAATAGCAGAAGCAGGCAACACCGGTTGATAATCTGCTTAATAATTTTGTCTACTACCTATTCTTGGTGTGCTGACACACAGAACAGAGACTCTTTAAGTTGCCTCTTCTATGCTGATGGCACACATTAGCTGTTCTTGGAGACATTATACCCAGCTGACTGCTTGAGAACACTGGCTATCCTTCCTTTATGCCAAACTTTGTTCCCTGTACAGCACGCACGTACTATGCACACTCAAGACCCATTTGACAGCAACCACAGCCTTGTTTGACTCCTGCATAAGGTTACTACCCTACATTTTCTCCTTTCTACAGTGGTGGAAGTAGTCCAGAGGTACATTTCCCACAGGGAACACATCTGAGGGGCAAAACGTTTTCAGGAGTAACTGCTCTGCATTAAGAATATTCAAATAGGCACACAGTGTACTTTTTGTCCTCTCAGGCAGCAGGGGGGAGACTACATGCATTCTCTAGAACTGCTCTAAAAAAAATAAAATAAAATTTTTGGCTTCTTCCATACACCAGATACAAAAAGTAGGTATTAGGGTGATCCTATTCAGTCCTAGAAGTTTTAGAGGTGATAATCCAGTAAGAACAAGCCTCAGAATTCCTGATAAATTCTCTGGAAATCTTTGTGTGCTTTCCTTCCCTCCTGCTGTCTATATGCTTGTACTATCTGACATAAAATACATTCAGCTGTTTTTCAAAAGAAAAAAAAAAAAAATCAGTTTGTCCCTTTTCTATGTTATCCCCCAAAAATTGTTCCACTGCAGCATTCTGGTGCGACAGCCTAGAAATTCTATGGCAGGTTCTGTCAATAGGCAACGGAATGCTATAATCAGTACGGTAACTTGGGTGGTTTTATTCACTTCTACTAGCGAGATACCCATTTCATCATTTCCAGTTTTGGAAATGCCAGATGTTTTGCACTGATAACATACAGCTGCAGTGTGAAAGTTGTCAAGAGTGAGGCTGGAGGATTACGATAGCCAAGGCTTCTGACTCCCATGGAGGGGAGTTGAAAGTAATTTAGGATTGTGGTATAAACACATTCACTGGGCGTTTCTGTCAAAATTAACAAAGCAGGCATTTTAAATGTCACCTGTAGATTTCACACTTCACGTGACTGATCCCTTTGGACATTTTATGCTTCTTTTGGTTTCTGACTGCCTCTAAATTCAGTAGGACATGAGCAAAATATCATTAGTAAGGTTTTCTTTGCAATCATGGATTTGCCTCAATTTAGGAGAAAAGACAGGTTAGAATTACTTAACATGTTTACAGATCGCTTTCCCCCTTAAAACAGGCTCAGATGGACACCTTGACTTCTATTTTGTTAGTCAAAAAACCAAAGTAAAAGCAATTTATCTTCCTCTACATTAAGAGAGGCTTCCTTTATAGGAATTAGAAGACCTCCACACATACAGAGAATGTTCCCAAGACCAAACATCTGGTCTGATGAAGCTAGTGAGTGCCAAACAAATTGCTCTGATAGATAGAAGCTGGTGGTGATGATGCAGAAACATATCAAGGAGCTGGCAACGGAAGCGTTAACCATGACGAAGGAAACTAGGAATGTGGGTAGTTTGACTAAGGATTTCTGGCTGCTGTTAAAACAACAGTTGTTCAGTTGCTGCAGCAACGTATGAAGTCACTAAAAATAAGTTCCAAGAGGTAACTGTATATGGCAAAGGGCAGCAGCACACAGAAAAGCTGGATCCAAAATATTACTACTGAAAATACGCTGTATTTGAAAGTGAAAGGCAAAGCTTCCTGAAACCTCTGCAAAACTGGACAGTGAAGCAGTGCTTTACTGTACACAGTTCATAATATGTATGCCCTCAAGCTTATCAGACAAATGAGAAAATGTTAAGCTGACTTTGGCTTAAAAAACTAGCATGAGAAACTGTAGCGTAATGCAGTGAGCACTGACTTGGAAGCCAGCAAAGCCAGGTAATATTCCTCAGCTTAACCATAGCTTCAGCTTATACAAGTCATTTTGCTTCTCTGTTCCTTTGCATCCTTTCCTCATACGAATCATTTAAACTATAACCTCTTCATGGTGAGGACTGCTTTTAAGCTTAATTTAAACTGCCTGAAGAATAAGGTGTTAATCTCAACTGTATGAACTCTTTAAGTATTCACAGTAATAACAAAAAACATTCCTCCAAGCAGCACTCTTCTGAAAAATAACCACGTCAGCTACTCCCTGGAAATCAGATCCCAAAGGACATATACACACATTGTGTTAATACTTAGTTTAAGTGTTGCCATAAAATATTCCAACTGCACCTTTAACTCATCTCTTTATTAATGTCACTGATCTAAAGTTAGCAGTGACATGCTAGCCAGCCTGAAGCCCCACCGTGTGCTGGATGACAACAGAAATAACTAGTCCATGAAAGCAGGTGGAAGAGATAAACCAGCTGGAGTGTGGAGAGAGAAGTTACCAAAATCAAAAAGATGCAGTGCAAACGTTATCATGGTCATTCACAACAGCCATGACTTTGTTTCAACTACAGAAACACAAAACCTCAGATAGGGGCAGTCAGCCAGTAGGCTGCAAAAATTCGTCATCTCTATCCTGGCTATTTGGGAAGGAGTTATAAAAAAAACCAAACCCTCTCCAGGAAGTGGAATGGAGGAAGCATTTTTAGGGATAAAGGCCACTCCACTTCTGTTTTCCATCATGGGGTGGGACAAGGACTGTGTGAAGGTAACTTACTGCATGCTAAACTCCCTGGGTATCGAAAACTCAGAAAGTTCTCAAAATAAAACACACACAGGAACAGGACATATCAGATGGTACAAGCTGAAAACAGGAAATAATGGAACTGACTGAAAAAACCTGTGGTGAGTAGCTGAGGAGGCCTTAGTGCTGGTGATGATTTCTTGAGAGGAAGGCATGGAAAGGGTCAGAAGAATTGCTGATGGAGGAAATCAGCCGAAGGAGGATTGGAAAGTATGCCTGACAAGTATATTAAGAGATCCTGACAACGACCATGACAAAAGAAGGAAAAGAAAAAAAAAAAAGAAAAAAAAAAAAGAAAAAAGGCTTTGTAGCCTCCACTGCTTTAAAACACTGGGTGGTAACCTAGAACAGAACATTTGCATGACACTAGGATTTCAAAGTAAAATCTTTTACCCTTCAACAATGACATATTCTAGCGGGCACAAAAACTACTTAGCCTATGGCAGAGGCTCTGGGCAGCCTCTGCTAATTGAAGAGAAGCAGCGTCTGATAGCTGAGGAGAAAGGCTTGATGGTAATTCTGATGCTAGGCAGATTTTCGGTGTCCTTTTAAAATTAAGAGTCTTACACAGTGAATAATTCACCACTTCTCTCTGCAAATAAAACTTAAGCATAGTCTAAGTAGCTGTGGTTTTGCAGGGTTCCAAGAACACAGAACAAAACTGCAAGACGCTTGATAAATATTTACTTCAACACTGGTGAAAAAAGGATCGGGAATGAAGATTCCCATGAGGTATAACTTCAGAAAGCCACACGAGATACATATTTCACTTCCTGAGCGAGCCTCAGCTCCCAGAGCAGGAAGGGGGAGCAGAACCAGAGAGGAAGTATGCTGGGTCCTTGGGGAAGGGTGTTCCTTGCAACAGTCATCCTTCTTGCCAGCCCAGGAGCAATGCTGACTAACAGAAAGAACTGGCTTTAGAACAGGACCTGTAGGAGTTGTAAAACAAAGAGAAAATACAGGGTGGGAGGTACAAAGAAAGTGCCAAGAAGTAGACCAGATACCACACCCTTAACATATAATGCCAGGAGGAGAGGAGGTGGCAAGACCCTCATGGAAACCTCTCGATGGAAAGTTCCGGATGTGTGAATAGGCGTCTTTCGTTTCCAATATGCACAAGCAAGGGCGTATGCCAGCATCCTTCGTGAAAACCAACGGAAGCTGGATTCACATGCCCTGGTTATCACAGATAAAAGACCACGGAGAGGAACAGGATTTGAAAAAGTGCATAGATGAGCAGTCCAGAATCCTGTTACTAAACAGCTTACTAACTGGGTCCATACGGATTCCCTCCCACAGCACTCTTGATAAGGACGTACAGTAGGGAAGGCATTATTTCCTTAAGTGAAAGGAGAATAAGAAGAAAAGAAGAATAGGTAAAACTGCATAAACGTAAAACCACAAATCAAAACAATCACTTTTCCACAGCACTATAGCCTGTTTTCTGACCCACAGCAAGGCCCATTTCTCTGTTTTCATCTGTAGATCTTTTTCAGCAGCTAGATGCTCACTTGACCATGGAAGCCTGCCTTGCCAAGGCAGGCAGTGATACCAGTTGCATTCACTACAATCAGATGAAGAAACCCTACAGGTTAAGGAGGCTTCTTAACTGGACAACAAACACATGCTGCAGGTGATGCCGAATTGCTCTCCTTTCACTAAAGAGGGGAGGGAACCCTTATACAAACAAGCAATGCTCAGATAATCAGTGATATTGACCTCTGGAAGAGTTCCAGAATTTAATGGGCTTACAAGGTTTTACAGAGCAGAAGCACTGATGGTTCACTTATTAACTAAGAGCGTGTCCAAACAACTAAATATCCGGGCATTATCGTTCCTCCTTCTGGATGAATGCTAATCATCGCAACAATGCTGATAATTCTGTTATTGTGAAAGTGCTAATCCCCTTTTGCAGATGAACAAACTGAGGGAGAAAGTTTAAGTGACAGCAGTAAAAGTCAACATCAGAGCTAGGATTAAATTTAGAAGAATCGTATGTTTTACCAAAGCTAACAGAATTAACACACGCAGGTAAGGATCACAACTGGCTACCATTTCCACAGTTTCTCTTCCATTAGTAATGCTCCAGACACCCACTGGCCTTCCAAGGGCTGCAGGGATCCTGCTCCACCAACAAACATCCAGGTACTGTTGCTCACCAGTTGACTGCAGATTACTTGTCCCACGTGCTGCTTGTGACTTCATCTCATCCAGAAGCCAGCCTTGGCCTGCACCTCACAGCACACACTACTCAAGGCCTCCTGAACAGACTGGTTTTGCTCCTTGATGGACTACAGGCATCCTTTGCTCACTAGTCTGTTATCAGGCTACTCAGAAGTTACTCTTTCAAGCTTCTCATTTTCAGTTACACAACTACAATTAAATTTCATATTTATCAGTGGATGGCTTCAGTCTACGCACTTCAGCCATAACACAGCTGGTGCCATCGTTATCCAGACTCTCATGCTTATTGGTTGACAGCAATGTTACACACTTAGGACACGGCGTTAATGCTTTAGGACACAGAAGCATATATCATAGATAACTGGCAACACCGCTGTCTGCTTACGCAGGTTGAATATGAATAACGCACACATTACAGACAAGCTAATGACTGAGGCAATAAGAATACGCAAGTGGCTGACGTTAAGTTTTTGCAAATTATTGCTTTGCTCAGTCAGAACTGCGCTACTCTGAAGATCAATATCTCAATGAAATTTATTGAAAATACTGTCCTAGTTGTAGAAAAAACCATGATCTTTATTATAAAGTAGTATCTACCTCCAGTTCATAGGCTTTTTTCTTTGGTTGTTTTTTTGCCTTCCAAATCACTTCTATGCCATGTGCCAATTGATACATAATGATTCTCCAGACAGGAGAATCACTCTCACTTTTCAACCCCGCAGCTACTAAGTGGCTAGAGAGATATACAGTACTGAAGATTCATTAGCAGAGATTTTGTTTGCTGATATCTCATACTTGATCCAAACATGTTTCCATAACAAACCAAGGATGGAGAGGCCCAGATACAATCAGACCCTTCTGTTATCTTAGAATCATAGAATCACTTTGGTTGGAAAAGACCTTTAAGATCATTGAGTCCAACCTTTAACCTAACCCTGCCATCCCACCACTAAACCCTGTCCCTAAGCACCTCATCTATCCTTCTTTTAAATACCTCCACGGATGAGGACTTGACCACCTCCCTGGGCAGCCCATTCCAGAGCTTGACAACCCTTTCAGTGAAGAAGTTTTTCCTAATGTCTAGCCTAAACCTGCCCTGGCGCAACTTCAAACCATTCCCCCTCGTCCTATCGTCTCTTACCAGGGAGAAGAGGCCGACCCCCACCTCCCACTGTCCTACAAGAACGGGGAACTCTACTACTTCTGTCAGCACCGCAGATGGACACTAATCAACATATTTAAATGATGAAATGTGCCATGTAAATTGACGGATGGGAACTACACTACCTCAGGTTTTACTGATTGCCATTTAGGGATACTGGCTCCTCAGCTTGTAATCAAATATTGCATCAACAATTCACATCAGTTTGCTATCAACTTGACCAGGACTAAGAAGGTTTCTTATGTATCCCTATATTCGTACAAAGTTAATAGGATTCCTATGGATTATATTGGCTTTTCTAACATGTTGTTCTGGGGACAGAAGAACAGAATGAATTGCTACGAGAGATAGTTTTGCTCAAGCGATCAACTTCCAGCACCTCTGCCCACTGGTAATGCTTATCAGCGTTACCACCAAATAATGCTATTTGACTATTCTTGCAGTTTTCCCAGAGATCTCAGCCAACTCCACATGTACTAGCAGCCTTCCGAAGGGGCGTTACCTTCCTTTCACAGACAGAACAGTCAAGCACAGAACAGCATGGTGACCCACGGTGACTCACATCACAGAACAAGCCAACAGGGAGCTAAAAACCAGTATTAGGGGTCTGTTTGCTCTATTCTAACAAAACTGCAACACATACAAGGAGTCTTGATCTGAAACTCTAAAAGCAGCTGTCTATACTTTAAGTGTCAGAAAAAAGATGAATGGGGCTCCCGTATCTATAAAGAGAGATTTAAATTACCCTCCAATTAGACAACCGACTGCGACCGCAATTCTTACCTGTAGGTTTCAATTTCAAGGATGAGGCCTGCTTTCACCTGCAGTAGTTCTTGATAGTCCTTCAGGTAATCCGTGATTGACATGGTCAGGAACCGCTTTTCTTCTTCTAGGGCGTCGATTATCCTCTAAACAGAGATACCCACTTTTAGTTTTGAACTAACATAGAAATCTGTAGACTTGAATGCCTAATAACTTAAAATAAGTGGAGAAAACAATAAATCAATATGTTCCATCACTGAAAACCAGAGCAACTCAGCTCTACGACCTCCCCATACACAACCTGAAATATATTGTTATTGAAGCAGAGTTTTATGCTAAGATTTCATTTTATGTCTTACTAAGCTAGTTAAATATTTCAGTAAAACCCATTCAGATGCCCTGTACAAGAGTTATCAAGTATACGCAGCAAGGAAAACACACTCCTTTATAAACGAGACTTAAATGTGACTCATTTTGTCATTTTAAGAGCATAGATGTACATGCTTAAATCACACTTGAGATCAGGAATTTCAGAGATGGCTTTGCCATGAGAACCTGACATATTTCTCTTTACCAGTATTGTCCATTCCATAGACACATGGGTCCAAACCACTTTTTTGACTCTAGCCTGCAGAGGTATTCATAATACCTAGTTCCTTTCAGCCAAGTTTTCTACAATATTTGGACACCTGCTTCATAGTCCACCTGGCTTTGTCCTAACCGCTACTCAGAAGACATACAAGGGATCGCTCATTTTCATCTTGATAACTAAATATTACTTTGTACCTTTGGGGCGGGGAGTGTATGGGAGGAGTGTTGTGTATACGATGCCCACAATCTCAGCGCTGATGAGACAGTAGGTAAGGCCTGCCCACCTTTCCTTAACAAGTTTTGGAATTGGAGAAGGGGACTGATGAGCACAAAAATATTGAAGTCCAAAATTATCTACATTTGAACATATTCTGAAATACTAAACGGAAGATTAAACAGTTATACACAACAGAAAAAGCAATGAAGACTTAATGCAACAGAACATTAAGATTCGATTTAGACCAAGACGACTGACTCTCATGCTCTTGAAGAGAGCATCGCAGAAAGCAAGTGTTTCAGTCCCCAGTATTAACTCTCACATGAAGCGCAAATTGCCATCTTCCCGAAAATAAACCCTCTCCTGATAATTGAGAGGCGCTTGTCCAGTACAGGCTCAGAACTAAAAGTATCAGTTATTACATTAGCTGTTCAGCACGGTTCTTCATAGTTTCCTCACTGCAGACAGAATCTGCTAACCCAGATCAATCCTCCTCAGCCAGCAGGTTGGTGCTAACCAAAATGCTATCAATTACACTTTGTTCTGGGGGCTGGGAAGACAGAAATGAAATTTCAGCAACGGCCTGATTCTATTTTGTTCACATCACTCTGTGCTACGCAAGGACACTGAACTGTCATTCACAGAGCCAAAATCTCATACACACGTACAACACTGAAGAGGAATTGATGACGGCATACTTCAGATTGCATCCTAACAAATGCTTTGCAATACAAACTGGAAAAATCAAGAGACTCATATTCCAGTTTTAAAAAATTCAAAATACTTCATTTATATGCAGCAAGGGTTCAAGTATCACAGCGTGAGCAATAGCATCAAAGTGAAGATACAGCAGGGGACTCCCCAGATTGGTTAATGCCAGTATGATATGCTAGGTAGAAGTAAGGCTTAAGAACTAAAAATATAAAGTGCTGCCATTTCAAACATTAGTAGTCTTTTTTTTTTTTTCTTTTTAAGGTAAAAGGCTGAAAAATTAAAAATAAAAAGGCCTGCCATTTCAAACATTAGTAGTCTTTTTTTTTTTTTCTTTTTAAGTAAAATTAAAAAGAAAGCTTTATGAAGGAAGCTGCCTGCATCTTCATATACATATGGCTGTATCTCTCTCTATAATACATGTTATGTTAAACTATTTCTTCATTTGCAGCCGCTGTTAAATGTTTACACTGATGTTTTCTTTGACATGACAAACCTTGCCTGCAGTCTTCAGTGTACCTTAAAACTCCCTTTTTATGGCAGAAGACAAATCATATCTGAAAAAGCACTGTCGGCCATCCATCAGCCTCATCCAGCCTGCAGCGGAGGTGACCTCCTGTACAGTCATGCACAACAGCGAGCAGAACCACTGCCCTTCAGTGGCTCCGGGGCAACAGCCCTATTCCAGAACTGACACAATGGAAAATCCCAAGAAGAGAAGAAAAGTGCCAGGCCCTGCCTGCTTTTAAAAGGAAAAGGCTATCAAGGAAGAACGCACAGGGCGTTGACAGAACCAGAGGAGTCAGCAAAAGGAACAAAAGACAAAGACTGGATCACTAGGGGACCAACCCCTAAAGGTGATAAGAGCTCTGATACAAAATATGAAGCGATTCAGGTGTTTGCTGCCTCCCCCATTAAACATAGGGTGTAACCTATACAGGTGCATGCATACATTAAAAGGAGCTTCACAATGCACAGGTCTTGCTCCAGTCCCAGAAGGGTCTATACAGGGAATCTGTATGCTGGGCTACAGAGTGTGTGGAGCTCTGGAGGACCGGGGGTATTCACACCCACCCAAAGACATAGAACTTCAGTCCCTCACCCCCAAGGTCTTTAGTTTGGGTCTGAAAAGCCACCTAGATTCTACCCACCGAGTTTGGAGAGCACTCGGGATCCAAAAGTTGGCCTTAATGACTACCATAAGGGGCTACATAACTCAGCCAGCTGTGTAATACTTCCAAAGGAATTAATTCCAACAGGAGCAGCCTTTGTATAGACTGGGTGGCAAACAGCCATTTGTCCAGCCCTCCAGTCACTGATGCTTAAACGTAATGCAGAGGACAATTGGTCTTAAGTCCTGTTTCCAAGCATGCCAAAAAAGTACATAAACCACTCTGGTAAAGTTCCGGAGATTGCAAGCCGACAAACTTCCATTTTGCAAAAGGTAATCTGTATGGTTGCAGCTGCATTTGCTTCACATGGGATTTTCTTGGAAAGATTTGTTTCTCAGCTGCATCAAACCCATGGCCCTTCCAAATCCCCGTGATGTCCTGCTAGAATCAAGTAACTGAACAGAAGCAATTTTCTCACCCTTCAGATGTTCCTTTCCAGGCAGCAGTGGGAAATTTTAGAAGGGCAGTAGGGGGAAAAGAATTTACTTGGGTTGTCCAACCTACTCAGGGAATAAAGAGGTTTCCAGGCTCCAGCCCTTTCCGTCTGGTACCATTTACTGATCCGGTAGCTCATTCAGTGGCTCATCAGGGAGGAGCTGACACTCTGCGCTTAGCTGGCTAGAAAGCGGTACACAAAAAAACGCACATGACATAGTGATTTTATACATTCCTTTGACAAGATGTTTTCTTCTTCTCTGGAGCTCACAACACTAACGCAAGAACCAATCCTAAACCGACCCGTATTGGTGAAAAATTTCTGCCTGTCTTCAAAGCAGCAGGATGAGCCATTGCCATTTTTACATAAAAAAAATTACAGGGCTTTCTCAAATCACTGAAAGTTTTTGCATAAGTATTGTCACAGCACACAGCTAAAATTAGGGAAGCAAGAGACCATCCCTTTAACACCCGGGACCAGTGGAAATTTTCCAAACAACGTATGATTTACAGCTTGCCCGGTTCAGCTGAATGATAATTCCAAATACATATTTCTGTTTAACATTGCTGAAAGCTTTAGCAAGGACAAGGACAGTGCAGGAGGCAAAGATGGACATATAAGGCAACTGGATGATATATGGAAAATATGAATAAACCTAATTGCCATTGCAGCTGCAATGAACAATATCACTTGACTTAAACCTGTACATACCTATAATTCCTATGTGACACTTTACATTAAATAAGCATGGAATAGATGCTCTTTAAAGAGTAGTTTAAAATCCATGCTGAACATACTTTCACCATTAAAAGAAACAATGAGGGAGAGGGGAAAAAAGCTTTGATCACAAGAACAAAAGCTGAAACAGCTGCTTCTACACATTCTATAATTTTTCTTTCTGGATATGAGCAAAAAAATATTTATTTCTCATCTCCAGTAGACTGACCACTGGCAGAGGCCTTTCTCATTAGAAACCAAACATTTTAAATACGAAACCACTCAGTAGTTATAAACCTTATGACAACATTTAAATTCTGGTGAAAATTATATCTGGATACACATTCAAAGATCAGACAGCTCACGTTTCCAGGTTGGCTATCAAAGCACTTGTTTCTTTTTCTTGTATTCCTAAGATTTGAAGCCATTGCTCCTCTAGCACCCAAAGCTCACCAAACGCTCACAAGGGTAAACCAGAAGTTTGTTATCTTGGTATCGAAAGAATTGGCAGGTGTGGAACCAGGACAGCGCGAGGGCAAGCACTGACTTTGGTTATCTGACTTCTACAAGGGGTTGCTCTGTCTCCACTTGCTCCTCTGAACAAAATTCTTTAAAAAGACAACCAAATACCAAACCACCACACTGGTATAAAAACACCTTGCTGAGTTGAAAGGAAGAGTTAGGTATCTGAACACACCCATTCTAGCCGGCTTTAGAAGAAAAACTTGTTGCATGGCTGGTGAGCTATACAAAATGCTCTTATTTTAATAACCCCGTATTTAAAGGTTTTCAGTTTGAGCAGTGACGATGGAAGATTAGAGAGATATTCATTAGAAATCCCTAGTAACAAATAAAGACAGCATGGAGGACATATTTTGGAAATCAAAGAAACTTTAAATATTAGTAGGCTTATGTGCATTTACATAAACTTATACACCTTGAAAAATCGGAAAAAAAAAGAGGGTTTTTTTCTTCTTTACATTTTTACCTGGCTTTGACTGACTGATAGATTCAATTAACAAGGGATTTACATAGAACACGTTCTTCTAAAGCTTTGGAAATGCTTACGTACACAATTGGAAGAGTCAATTTTCCTGTCAAAAATGAAAAGAAAATTGATTTAAAGTTAAAAACCTTTCTGATTACTTCGACATACCTAATCTGCCTCAGTTCACAGCATCTGCAAGCTATGCAGCTTGCAAACAATCCTAGCAACGTACAAAAACCAGACACACAGCAACAGGTCCCAGTCCTTTCCCAATTGCCAGCATCTCCGTAATCTGCCACGGCTGCCGGACACAATGCGATCGTTAGCACACGGGTTCAGACAAACACCGAGCTCCAGCAGAGCGTTAAT